AAACACCATTGTAAATACAACCCATATTTATGTTGATTTATTTTCCCATTTGTACTTTAACTATTTGCACATCATTACAACACTGTATATAGACAATATGACATTTGAAATGTCTTTATTCTTTTGAAACTTCTGAGTGTAATGTTTACTGATCATTTTATATTATTTATTTCACTTTTGTTTATTATCTACTTCACTTGCTTTGGCAATGTTAACATACGTTTCCCATGAAAATAAAGCCCTTAAATGTAATTGAAATTGAATTGAGAGAGGGACAGACAAGTTAGTGCATGTGTGTGTTTGTGGTCAGTTGTAATTGTGTACCTGATGACCCTGTGTATGGTGTTTCTGTAGCGTAGGTGGTCCGTCTGGACGTTCGGGTTGGACAGAGCTCTCCTCAGCTCCCTCACGGTCTGCTCACCGCCCAGGTAAGGCATAGTAGCCTGGACAACACAATACGGTACCGGTATTAGCTACAGAACAGATGAGTTCAGCAGACTGTCTGAGACGCTACTGATATTACAAATATACAACTGCCACACACAGACAGACAGAACTAACTAACAAACCCCCCCCCCCATGTCTTTGTCCTGGTTTCGAAGCCAAAGAGCCACAGCTTTAACGGTTTAACGTTACAGCAAGCCGACGTGGTTAGCTACAGTAACGTTAGCTAGCTAGCGTTAGCTACCCAACATTGCCATCCTTTTCAGATATTAACGCTGCTTACGTTACATTGTGTTCGGATATTGTGACCTAACATCACTTACCGTTTAGTGGTCACTTGTGGATTCTTTCATGACATTTTTTTCTCGTTCAAATCGCTAGTTTGTTGACATCCGTGTAACACTTCCACTAGTATTCCGCCAGCAGCACAAATGACGTCACGTCGTATGGGAATGAGGAAACCTTCAAAATACAAGCCCGCATTTCAAAACATGAGGAAACCTTCAAAATACAAGCCCGCATTTCAAAACATTTACCACTTTTATTGTGACAACAAGAAAAGGCAAAAAGTAAATTTATGAAAACAAACACCTCCTCACCTTGAGAACACACACTACATATCAATAGTGTAGCAGCTTCCTCTCACAGGCACGTTGGTGAGGACACTATTCTGGTTAGCACTTGTCACTAGTATGTGCAGTGGCCCTCCAGATCTACAGTACTGATCCAGTATAAATGCTTTTATGGATGTTTTGATTTTGTGATTCAGTTTTTACTGTTTTTGTTTGCACAAGCTGTATTGAAACAAATTCCAATCAACTCTGTTGATAGGGCAATCACAAGAGTTACACATGTCAGTTGGTGTGAATAAAATGTATTATTTCATGTCTGTTTCAAATCAAATCAAATCATACCAGGCGGTGATGCAGCCAGTCAAATCAAATCATACCAGGCGGTGATGCAGCCAGTCAAATCAAATTATATCAGGCGGTGATGCAGCCAGTCAAATCAAATCATACCAGGCGGTGATGCAGCCAGTCAAATCAAATCATACCAGGCGGTGATGCAGCCAGTCAAATCAAATCATACCAGGCGGTTCCCATGTTTAGTATCTATTAATCACTTTATCCTTTAGTGAAAATTGCAGTAAATGCTACTTTATTTAGGCTCTGATGGGATCAACCCATACATTTGTAAGAATACAGTTATAACTGAAATGATGCTCCTCTGACTCAACAAGTAATGATGATTTTGTTTGTATAACTTTGCTACCCAGATGTCCTATTAATATTCCATACCATCTTGCAAGGCAGACAGACTGCATTGACTTTCCATACCAAACTGTCTCAACTAGGTAGAGGAAACGTCTCAAACCAGTTGAGTGCAAATGAAAAAGAAACATTTATCTACTGATTCACTGGCACTTCAATGCCCTTAAGAGGCAGGGTCAGCTCAGTCAGTGGGGACAGAGGCAGGGTCAGGGTCAGTCAGTGGGGACAGGGACAGAGGCAGGGTCAGTCAGTGGGGACAGAGGCAGGGTCAGTCAGTGGGGACAGGGACAGAGGCAGGGTCAGTCAGTGGGGACAGGACAGAGGCACTCGTCAGTGGGGACAGGCTCAGTGGGAAGGGCAGGGTCAGTCAGTGGGGACAGAGGCAGGGTCAGTCAGTGGGGACAGGGACAGTAGTGCAGGGACAAGCAGGTCAGCTCATCAGTGGGACAGAGGAGTCATGGGGACAGAGGCAGGGTCAGTCAGTGGGGACAGAGAGGCAGGGTCAGTGGGACAAGAGGCAGGGTCAGTGGGGACAGGGACAGTCAGTCAGTCAGTGGGGACAGAGGCAGGGTCATCAGTGGGACTCAGTCAGTGGGGACAGAGGCAGGGTCAGTCAGTCAGTGGGACAGGGACAGAGGCAGGGTCAGTCAGTCAGTGGGGACAGAGGCAGGGTCAGTCAGTGGGGACAGAGGCAGGGTCAGTCAGTGGGGACAGAGGCAGGGTCAGTCAGTCAGTGGGGGACAGAGGCAGGGTCAGTCAGTCAGTGGGGACAGGGACAGGGTCAGTCAGTGGGGACAGAGGCAGGGTCAGTCAGTGGGGACAGAGGCAGGGTCAGTCAGTGGGGACAGGGCAGGGTCAGTCAGTCAGTGGGGACAGAGGACAGGGTCAGTCAGTGGACAGGAGTCAGTCGTGGGGACAGAGGCAGGGTCAGTCAGTCAGTGGGGACAGAGGACAGGGTCAGTCAGTGGGGACAGAGGCAGGTCAGTCAGTCAGTGGGGACAGAGGCGGGTCAGTCAGTCAGTGGGCAGCGGGTCATCAGTGGGACAGAGGCAGGGTCAGTCAGTGGGGACAGAGACAGGGTCAGCTCAGTGGGGACAGGGACAGGATGGTGAGCACATCCAGCATCATTACTCTTGCGCTGTACATGCTTCAGTTTCAGTGATTATGACAACATGTACTGTAGCTTCCACCAAAGTCTGATGAACAGTTGTCTTTTTTTATTTGATTAGTCTTCAACAACAACAAAAATGAAACAAAACCAAAAACACCTGTGTTTTGCTGTTTTAAGGACTACAGTTCCCAGAGTACACCTGATGTTACCAAGTTATCTGCGTCAAATCATGGTTGTTCTGACTGTGTTAAACAGATATCATCCAACTGTCCCCTGAGGTGGTCAAATAGAGCACAGTCCTCTTATCCCTGAATAACTTACTTGCATACCACGTTCTTCATGTTTCCAGTGGTTGTTGGTTGTGTGGTGGTGCTTTGTGCTGCAGATTTCGCCCTCGCCACTATTCCAAATCCACGACCCGCTCTAGCTCGCTCGGTCTGCTGGTGGACATGTACTAATGGGCTCCTGAGACCGGAACTAGCAAGATGTCAGCCCCCACGAATCGGCATATGTGACGGTGAGTAGATTATGTTGAAAACAATGGTCGGACATCTTAGAGGCAGTCTCTAGTTCTTATGCCGCGTTCAAAACAACTGGAAACTCAAAAAAATATAAATAAATCATCCAACTCGGAATTCCAACTCTGGCCTCTCTAGAGCTCCGACCTGAAGATCACTGACGTCATGATTTGACCAGTTGTCTTCAAGCAGAGTTAGTAGACGGTTGACTGACGTCACGAAAAAGGTGTGCAACGTTCTGATTTGTGGACTGTCACACTGACTACGTTTATATGCACACTAATAATTAGATATTAAACTGATCATGGCAGAAGGCCGCGTGTGGCATTAGTCATGTAAACACTTTACTCTGCTTATCTTAATCGGTGTATAAAACGCCTGGGTTTCTGAGCAACCGTTCTAATTATTAGGACATGTAAACAGCTTAATCTGCATGTGCCAGCACCAAAGGCTCCCTCTGCGCGAATGAAGTAAGTTAGGAAAAACTTGTCTACCAAGTGGAGCAGCGGTCTAAGGCACTGCATCTCAGTGCTTGAGGCGTCACTACAGACCCCCTGGTTCGATTCCAGGCTGTATCACAACCGGCCGTGACTTGGAGTCCCATAGGGCGGCGCACAATTGGCCCAGCGTCGTCCGGGTTTGGCCGGGGTAGGCCGTCATTGTAAATAAGAATTTGTTCTTAACTGACTTGCCTAGTTAAATAAAGTTTAAATAAAATTAAAATAACACGGTCACTGTGCTAGAACGTTTATTTTGATTGGAGATTTTCTGCATTTATTAAATCAGTAGCCTGATTAAAGATGTATCCATATAAACAGGATTATTTGGGCAATCGTTCTTCTTGCAAAGCATGTAAAAGTTTTAAACGAACTTTTACATAAACCTGACTAGCCACAATCGCATTATTGTGTGCATGTAACCGTGCACACTGACAAGAAGCTGCCATGTGGGGAATCGTAGGTGGCTCATTTCACCTTAATGATACCATGTCTTGTTATGACTGATGTCATGTCTATGCTAATATGGCTAAAGTTCGCTAGCTAGCTAACCAACAACAGTCACAAAGTATTTTTTAAGTCAACTTCCATTGTCCTCCAACTGCTATTCTCATCTTGTTTGCGTCTCCGTTCAGAGTGGTTGGAAAGCAAGGCAGACTGAAGCAGGCAGCGACAGACGGATCTTTTCCCTGGTCTCTCGGGGTTAGAACATGGTGATAGCTTTTAATATCATACGCCATAATAGCAGACACTGTTATCCAAAGCGGTTTACAGTCATGCGTGAATACATTTTATGGATGGTCGCAAGCGCCATGCTCTCCCAACTGATATACAGAGGACCAATATTCTAATGTATTCCACCATAATCATTCTGTACCCCACTGTCCTAAAAAAATACATTCTTCATTTTAAACCACACACACACACAGGAAGTACCAAAGAGACAATACAGTGAGTTGATGATTGGTTTATTGATTGTGAATTCTCCAGAAACATGTAGCCAATGGCTGGAACCGAGCACATGAGCCCCACCCCCTTCCTGAGACAGACATCCACTCCGCCTGGCCCCATTGGCTGAGGTTTGGAAGGCGGAGCTTCATAAACAGGTAGGGGGGGGGAGCTTTGAGCTGACCAGCCAGTCAGCTGGCAGAGGACATACCGGACGACCCCATTGGTCCAGAGAGAGCTGCTCAACCCTGCCTCTGAACCAATGGGTGGTGCCAGACATCCTGATAGACAAGCCAATATAGAAACACATTAAACACAATGACATTTTCCAACCCCTCCCACAATGACAAAAGCTTCACCAGGACAATGCTCTGACCCCCACTCTAAATCACACATACAAAACTTGATCGATTTCCCATTCACTGATTTTGGAGGGAAAACTGTCGGAATGTTAATTTCATTTGGAAGAGGAACGGTTTGGAGCATTGTCCAATCCCTCTCCCAGCATGTTAGGTGTTTTGGGCTGTAGCTCCTGTGGCTAAACAGGGGAACGAGATGGACCGCCTCACACACCACACGTCAGAGGGAGAGTCTATGACATCGTATCGCCGGGAGCGGGACTAGTGGAGCTGCTGTTCTCCTGATTGGCTGCAGCGGTCCCTCTGGGCGGGACTTCGATGATGCGTGGTTTGTCGATGATGCGAGCGCCGCGTTCTCCTTTCTCCACGATGCCGATGATCCAGGCTCCTCCCCCCGACCCCTGACCCTTCACCTCCGCACAGAACCGGGCCGCCTGCTCTCTGGGCAGGCTTACTAGCAGGCCTCCTACACACAGGATGAACGGTAAATAGTGTCATTTGGGAGTAATTTATTGTAAATAGCAATAGAATATGTTTCTAAACGCTTCTACATGAATGTGGATGCTACCATGACTACGGATAATCCTGAATGAATCGTGAATAATGGTGAATGAGAAAGCTACAGAGCACATATCATACCTCCCAAGACATGCTGACCTCTCACCATTACAATAACAGGGGAGGTTAGCATTTTTGGGGGGGTATGATATTTGTGCGTTTATTTAACTTTCTCACACAATTTTTCACGATTCATTCAGGATTATCCGTAACCATGGTAGCGTCCACATTCATGTAGAAGTGTTTAGAAACATTCTATTCTTATTCACAATAAAAGTGACTCCAAAATGACACAATATATTATTTACCATTCATTTCTATTGGGCACAAGATCATCTGAAACACAACCAAAACAAACAGCAAATGCATCCAACAAATTTGTAGAGTCACAATCTTGATGTAGTCATTGTGTGCTGTGAATATGGGACCAAATACTACACTTCTTAATACTTTTATACACATGTAAGTGAATTTGTCCCAATACTTTTGGTCCCCTAAAATGGGGGGACTATGTACAAACAATGCTGTCATTTCATAAACGGTTCACCAGATATGGATGAAAATACCCTCAAATTAAAGTTGACAGTCTGTACTTTAACCTCATAGTCATTGTATAATTTCAAATCCAAAGTGCTGGAGTACAGAGCCAAACGTGTCCCTGTTCCAATACTTTTGGAGCTCGCTGTAAATGTAATCCGAGTCAGAGCAAACTTACCTACAGTGAGGGAAAAAAGTATTTGATCCCCTGCTGATTTTCTACGTTTGCCCACTGACAAAGACATGATCAGTCTATAATTTTAACAGCAGGGGATGAAATACTTTTTTCCCCTCGCTGTATCTAATACAGCCTGATTCCAGTGATGGTGTAGGACCAGATCAGCATGTTGCTGGTGCAACGGTATCTTCTAAATCAGAGGAAGAGAGAGCAATAGTAGGGATGTGCATCCTTCCCTTTCAAGACGACTCGATGCATGGGCTCAGATACAATACGTTTTAGTTTTTAAACGATTCGATGCGATTCAGTTTGATTAGAGGAACGAATCGATGCGATTCAGTTTGATTAGAGGGGCGATTCGCTGCGATTCAGTTTGATTAGAGGGGCGATTCGCTGCGATTCAGTTTGATGCGATACGAAGCACTAACATTTCTTTCATAAACACATTTCATTTTCCATTTCTAAATTATAATCTGCTGCTTATGGAGCTCATGACCTGGATCTGTCTGAGCTGGGCCTGTCTGACATGGATCTGTCTGAGCTGGGCCTGTCTGAGCTGGGCCTGTCTGAGCCGGGCCTGTCTGAGCCGGGCCTGTCTGAGCCGGGCCTGTCTGAGCCGGGCCTGTCTGAGCCGGGCCTGTCTGACATGGATCTGTCTGACATGGATCTGTCTGACATGGATCTGTCTGACATGGATCTGTCTTAGCTGGGCCTGTCTGACATGGATCTGTCTGAGCTGGGCCTGTCTGACCTGGGCCTGTCTGACCTGGGCCTGTCTGACATGGATCTGTCTGAGCTGGGCCTGTCTGACATGGATCTGTCTGAGCTGGGCCTGTCTGACATGGATCTGTCTGAGCTGACTCCTGTGTGTAAATGATCTATATACACCAAGTGTACAAAATATTAGGAACACCTGCTCTTTCCATGACAGACTGATCAGGTGAAAGCTATGATCCCTTATTGATGTCACTTGTTAAATCCACTTCAAAATCAGGGGAGGAGACGGGTTAAAGAAGGATTTTTAAGCCTTGACACAATTGAGACATGGATTGTGTATATGTGCCATTCAGAGGGTGAATAGGCAAGATAACATATTTAAGTGCCTTTGGTATGGTAGTATTTGCCAGGCGCACCGGATTGAGAACTGCAACGCTGCTGAGTTTTTCACACTCAACATCAGGCTGAGCGATATGGCCTAAAGATGTTCTCTCTAAATATGGGTTGTTGTACAATTAAAGGTCAAATACACTGCACTTTAACCTCTTAAGGATCGGACCCTTTTTCAATTTTCGCCTAAAATGACATACGCAAATCTAACTGCCTGTAGCTCAGGACATGCATATTCTTGATACTATTTGAGAAAGGAAACACTTTGAAGTTTGTGGAAATGTGAAATTAATGTAGGAGAATATAACACATTAGATCTGGTAAAAGATAACACTATTTTTTTTAAAATCATCTTTGAAATGCAAGAGAAAGGCCACAATATAATAGAGCAGTTTAGGCGCAATTTAGACTTTGGCCACTAGATGGCCGCAGTGTGCGTAAAACGTTTCAGATTGATCCAGTGAAGCATTGCAATACTGGACTATTTTGTATGAAGTCTGCCCAAATGTGCCGAATTGGTCAATTGATACATTTTCAAGTACATAACTACAAAAATGATATGGTAATACAAAATGTAAGTTTACACACTCCCAGGAATGTCATACATGATGGATCATTAGCTTCTACACTAACTTTCACACATCTAGATGGCCGGGCGGGGTGGGTGTGGAGCCAGAGACAGCAAGGGTTCAAACTGTAGAACCCAGTTCCTACATTTGAATATAAAAATGGATTTTATTAAACAAACTATGCTACATTTTATCTCTGGGACCCTTAGGATGACAAATCAGAGCAAGATTACTGAATGTGAGTACATTATTTACCTTCAGAGGTGAATGTATCAAACCAGTTGCCATGATATGTTTTTTGTTGTTGTGCACTCTCCTCAAACAATAGCATGGTATTTCTTCACTGTAATAGCTGCTGTAAATTGGACAGTGTGGTTAGATTAACAATAATTTAAGCTTTCTGCCCATATAAGACATGTCTATGTCCTGGAAAGCTGCCTGTTACGTACAACAGTCATGCTAATCACATTAGCGCACGTTAGCTCAACCGTCCCGTATACGGGACACCGATCCCGTAGAGGCTAAACAGTCAGCACACACAAGGCAGTAGGCTACGCGCGAATGTTCGTTCCATAAAGCAGTGGACGGGAAACCGCCATTGCCAAAAGGGCACCGCACATGCAAGCGGTTCCATGTGACAGATGAAAACATCCATTAGAAATGTAGAGATCTAAAGATGCAACAGCTAGCATGGGGTTGCTATTATGTCTAGGCTTGAAGTTTGGCTACTGGACAATGAAAGAAAGTTGATTTGAAAACCAACAGAACATGGGAGAAATAGGCTACTGGTTTCAATGGCATATGGAAGTCTATATAAAATAATTTTGGCTATAGGCTACTTTGAAGCAAGGTAAGACATGCCTCATAATATGAAATAAAACTTTCAAGTTTCAAACAATGAAGTTTATGTTTTCAAAATGCGTCGTGACGTGCTCACACCTTCCTACCATTGTCGATGCACTTCAAAGGCCAATGGGAAGCGCGTTTCAATTACCAGTTGAGAAATAAAAATAGCTATTTTTAAAATCGTTCGCCATCAAAACACGTGATTATATAACAAATAATAAGATTTCCTAAACCTGTGTTAAGATCTAAGGTCCAAGGTTATTTTTGGCATTTATCCCAAAACCCCATTCTTTCCCCCATAGGGAAGTCTGAGCCAATCAGAGGTCAGTCTTTTCCGTTTAATAACATGCGTTTTTCTGGATTTTTGTTGTTATTATTCTGTCTCTCACTGTTCAAATAAACCTACCATTAAAATTATAGACTGATCATGTCTTTGTCAGTGGGCAAACATACAAAATCAGCAGGGGATCAAATACTTTTTCATTGGTTGTCAAACTGTCTTCGAACTGCCCAGTATTACGTTTTAACTATGGAATTAGAACTATTCAAGTGTTTTGATCTAATTGCAATATTTGGTTAAAAATAAGGCCTAGATACGTTTGGCCACGTTGTGCAGCCCTTACGTGGCAGTGTGGACATTTTAAATGAGAAATGTTTTGTTGAAGTTTGATTGAACAGTATAAAACAATCCGAATGGAGAAAGCCCCATTTGAAATCACTTAGAATGTATGTGTTGCCACCTAGGGCACAAATAAATAATTTTAATTATTGAAAAACATAAAATACTGTCAAATATGTGAAACGTATTGTGATTGGATATTTTTGGCCCAATCGCCCGGCCCCAGTCTCCTACCAGATGTCTCCGAGGACGTCCCCCCCAGCAGGTTGAAGAGGTTTCCACAGGCCTTGCTGATGGCGGCCATCTTGGTAATGATGGGGAGGTTATGGATGACGAAGGCTACCTCAGCACGCTGCGTCGTCGCTAGGTTACGGGCGTGCCCTAGCAACCCGAACCCAGTCACGTCTGTTGCCGCGTGGGCCTGGAACCTGTGCATGAGGCCTGCCGCTGTGAGCACACAAACACACAGAGCGGTTTACAGACCGGGTTGTTGTGTGTGTGTGTGTGTGTGTGTGTGTGTGTGTGTGTGTGTGGGGGGGGGGGGGGGGGGGGGGGGGGGGGGGGGGGGGGTACCTAGTCAGATGCACAACTGAATGCATTCAACCTAAAATGTGTCTTCCACATTTAACCCAAGCCCTCTGAAATCAGACAGGTGTAGGGGGCTGCCTTAATCCATGTCCACTTTTCGGCGCCCAGGGAGCAGTTGTTCTTGGGGGTTAACTGCATTGCTCAAGGGCAGAATGGCAGACGCTTCCCACCTTGCCGGCTCGGGGATTCGAACCAGCGACCTTTCGGTTACTGGCCCAATGCGCTTAATCCCTAGGCTACCTGTTATATTAGTGTGTGTGTGTTACCTGTGCGGTTGAGCGTTGCCATGGAGAACATGGCTTCCTGGTAGGCCTGCTCCACTTCCTCCTTAGAGACCACCAGCTTGATCTTATTCCACCTCTCTGGCTGTGCACGCGCACACACGAGAGAGGGGGAGAGATCGAGGAGAGAGAGGGAAAGAGGGAAAGAGAGGGAAAGAGGGAGAGAGAGGGAAAGAGGGAGAGAGAGGGAAAGAGAGGAGACAGATTGATTATTTATCTTTTTCAATGAGATCCACATTTTTGGACACCAGAGAAACACCCAAAGAAGCCTCTGATAGACTAAGAAGACAGACCAGTCTGCTAGAATATGACCTACCTGGTCCAGCCACCAGACAGACACAGACACAGACACAGACACAGACACAGACACAGACACAGACACAGACACAGACACAGACACAGACACAGACACAGACACAGACACAGACACAGACAGACAGACAGACAGACAGACAGACAGACAGACAGACAGACAGACAGACAGACAGACAGACAGACACAGAATGGTACCTACTGGTCAGCACCAGACAGACAGACAGACAGACAGCAGTATGGTACCCTACCTGGTCCAGCCACCAGACAGACAGAGACAGCAGTATGGTACCCTACCTGGTCCAGCTACCAGACAGACAGACAGACAGCAGTATGGTACCCTACCTGGTCCAGCTACCAGACAGACAGACAGAGACAGCAGTATGGTACCCTACCTGGTCCAGCCACCAGACAGACAGACAGACAGACAGCAGTATGGTACCCTACCTGGTCCAGCCACCAGACAGACGTACAGACAGCAGTATGGTCCCTACTGGTCCAGCCACAACAGTACAGACAGACAGCAGTATGGTACCCTACCTGGTCCAGCCACCAGACAGACAGACAGACAGACAGACAGACAGCAGTATGGTACCCTACCTGGTCCAGCCACTGGTGAGCGTTGACAGCTACCTGGGTTCCTAGAGGCTTGGTCAGGACCAACACGTCCCCCGGTACTGCACTGTCTGGCCTACACACACACAGACACGGTCAGGACCAACACATCCAGTACAGATACAGTAAGATACAGTATTGATCCTGTCTGGCCTACACACAGTAAGATACAGTATTGATCCTGTCTGGCCTACACACACACAGTAAGATACAGTATTGATCCTGTCTGGCCCACACACACACACACAGTAAGATACAGTATTGATCCTGTCTGGCCTACACACACACACAGTAAGATACAGTATTGATCCTGTCTGGCCCACACACACACAGTAAGATACAGTATTGATCCTGTCTGGCCTACACACAGTAAGATACAGTATTGATCCTGTCTGGCCCACACACACACACACAGTAAGATACAGTATTGATCCTGTCTGGCCTACACACACACACACAGTAAGATACAGTATTGATCCTGTCTGGCCTACACACACACACAGTAAGATACAGTATTGATCCTGTCTGGCCCACACACACACAGTAAGATACAGTATTGATCCTGTCTGGCCTACACACAGTAAGATACAGTATTGATCCTGTCTGGCCTACACACACACACACAGTAAGATACAGTATTGATCCTGTCTGGCCTACACACAATCACACAGTAAGATACAGTATTGATCCTGTCTGGCCTACACACACACACAGTAAGATACAGTATTGATCCTGTCTGGCCTACACACACACACAGTAAGATACAGTATTGATCCTGTCTGGCCTACACACACACACACAGTAAGATACAGTATTGATCCTGGCTGGCCTACACACACACACACACAGTAAGATACAGTATTGATCCTGTCTGGCTGGACTCTAACCTCTAGGCTACCAACAAGAACTGATAACACCATGACCACTCTCTGAACAGAACCCACTGATAACACCATGACCACTCTCTGAACAGAACCCACTGATAACACCATGACCACTCTCTGAACAGAACCCACTGATAACACCATGACCACTCTCTGAACAGAACCCACTGATAACACCATGACCACTCTCTGAACAGAACCCACTGATAACACCATGACCACTCTCTGAACAGAACCCCCTGATAACACCATGACCACTCTCTGAACAGAACCCACTGATAACACCATGACCACTCTCTGAACAGAACCCACTGATAACACCATGACCACTCTCTGAACAGAACCCACTGATAACACCATGACCACTCTCTGAACAGAACCCACTGATAACACCATGACCACTCTCTGAACAGAACCCACTGATAACACCATGACCACTCTCTGAACAGACTGATAACACCATGACCACTCTCTGAACAGACTGATAACACCATGACCACTCTCTGAACAGACTGATAACACCATGACCACTCTCTGAACAGAACCCACTGATAACACCATGACCACTCTCTGAACAGAACCCACTGATAACACCATGACCACTCTCTGAACAGACTGATAACACCATGACCACTCTCTGAACAGAACCCACTGATAACACCATGACCACTCTCTGAACAGAACCCACTGATAACACCATGACCACTCTCTGAACAGAACCCACTGATAACACCATGACCACTCTCTGAACAGAACCCACTGATAACACCATGACCACTCTCTGAACAGAACCCACTGATAACACCATGACCACTCTCTGAACAGAACCCACTGATAACACCATGACCACTCTCTGAACAGAACCCACTGATAACACCATGACCACTCTCTGAACAGAACCCACTGATAACACCATGACCACTCTCTGAACAGAACCCACTGATAACACCATGACCACTCTCTGAACAGAACCCACTGATAACACCATGACCACTCTCTGAACAGAACCCCCACTCCCGCTCTTACATGATGAACTCGTTGGGTTGGCAGACGACCGAGGCCACGCCCCCTATGATGATCCAGGGGTTGACCACCGTCTGGCCGCCCGTCACAGAAGTCCCGCCCTCCTCCGCCGCATCACGGAAACCACGGATCATCAGAGGCATCACAAGCTCGCGCTCCTGCACACAGACACGGTTATCATTTCATCACACGCTCACGCTCCTGCACACAGACACGGTTATCATTTCATCACACGCTCACGCTCCTGCACACAGACACGGTTATCATTTCATCACACGCTCACGCTCCTGCACACAGACACGGTTATCATTTCATCACAAGCTCGCGCTCCTGCACACAGACAAAACACACATCATTACGGCCAACTAGCTTCCAGTTCTGCAGGTTAGACGGACTGGGCATAACTCCAGGAACACATGCACGTCTGACGCACACACAAACACGCTACAGAGAGGTTGCTTCACATGTAACAGTCAGTCCAAAGTCTGACATTTGCAGATGAGTGGGTTTATGAATGAACAGCCAGTTAGTTGTTCCGAAGCCCCACCAGACACGCTGCTACATACACAGCATGATGTTCAAATCAAAACTCATTTTATTGGTCACATACACATTTTTTAGCAGATGTTATTGCAGGTGTAGCGAAATGCTTATGATCCTAGCTCCAACAGTGCAGTAGTATCTAACAATACACACAGATCTAAAGTAAAATAATGGAATTAAGAAATATAATATTAGAACGATCAATGTCGGAGTCCGGAGTATCATATATTTTACATACACAGTACCAGTCATGTTTGGACACACCTACTCATTCCAGGGTTTTTCTTTATTTTTACTACTTTCTACATTGTAGAATAATAGTGAAGACATCAAAACTATGAAATAACACATTTGGAATCATGAAGTAACCAGAAAATTGTTAAATCAAAATATATTTGATATATTTGAGATTCTTCAAAGTAGCCACCCTTTGCGTTGACAGCTTTGCACACTCTTGGCATTCTCTCAACCAGCTTCATCTGGAATGCTTCTCCAACAGTCTTGAAGGAGTTCCCACATATGATTAGCACTTGTTGGCTGCTTTTCCTTCACTCTGGCGTCCTACTCATCCCAAACCATCTCAATTGGGTTGAGGTCGGGTGATTGTGGAGGCCAGGTCATCTGATGCAGCACTACATCACTCTCCTGCTTGGTAAAATAGCCCTTACACAGCCTGGAGGTGTGTTGGGTCATTGTCCTGTTCAAAAACAAATTATAGTCCCACTAAGCCCAAACCAGATGTGATGGCGTATCGCTGCAGAATACTGTGGTAGCCATGCTGATTATGTGTGCCTTGAATTCTAAATAAATCACAGACCAATCCCCCGACCTCAACCCAATTGAGATGGTTTGGGATGAGTTGGAGCGCAGAGTGAAGGAAAAGCAGCCAACAAGTGCTCAGCATATGTGGGAACTCCTTCAAGACTGTTGGAAAAGCATTCCAGGTGAAGCTGGTTGAGAGAATGCCAAGAGTGTGCAAAGCTGTCATCAAGGCAAAGGGTGGCTATTTGAAGAATCTCAAATATAAAATATATTTAGATTTTCTGCCTATAGGAAGGGAGGAGCAGAATGGAGTGGTGATCTGATTTGCCGAAGGGAGGGCGGGGGAGGGCCTTGTAGCCATTCAGGAAGAAAGAGTAACAATGGTCGAGAGTTTTTGAAGACTGAGTACTACAGGCAATGTGTTGATGAAACTTCTTAGTGTTTTCCTCAGATTTACTTTGTTAAAGTCCCCAGCTACAATAAATAGGATATGCGGTTTCCAGTTTGCACAAAGTCCAGTGTAGTTCCCTGAGGGTCGTCGTGGTGTCGGGGGCCGTCGTGGTGTCGGGGGTCGTCGTGGTGTCGGGGGTCGTCGTGGTGTCGGGGGCCGTCGTGGTGTCGGGGGTCGTCGTGGTGTCGGGGGCCGTTGTGGTGTCGGGGGTCGTCGGGGTGTCGGCTTGAGGGGGAATATACACGGCTGGGACGAAAACCGAAGATCTCTTGGGAGGTAATGCGGTCGGGGGAACAAAAGGACTTGAGTTATTGTACGTTAACACAATCACACCATGACTAGTTAAATCATGAAACATACACCTACGCCAGCCAAACTCAACTGGCAGACCGCGGTCCGGACCCAGAGAAGGGTCAATCCCGACATCATCGCATTTTGTTATATAAAAGTCAATACATTATTTTTAGACAGCGGCCTCTAACTCAGCAACCTCTCTTTCTCACTCTCTCGAAGCCACGCCCACCTCTACTAGTGCCCCGTCTTATCCAATTGCGTGGTTATATGCAAATACAAGAGGCCGCGTCTTACCCAATCACATTAATCCAAATATCCTCAGCGGAACCTTGGGACAAGCAGGCAGAAAGAAACACAAAGATTTGGCCGCGGTTCAACTGTAAATATCACAGATAGAAGGAGCTTAGTTACCAGTATCTTTGTTAATATGGCTTGTTAAAACAAACACAAAAGTTGACTCTGAAAGCCGTATATTCAAAGACGAGTGGACAGAACAGTATTTATTCATTTTCCCCTCAACTAGCACCAAACCAATGTGCCTGATATGCAGTGAGTCGTAGCTCTCCTGAAAAGTGCCCATGTTAAACACCATTATGACACCAGGCATAGTAAACTGGATCAGACACGGAGGTGAGAACAAACTGGATTAACCAACTCAAATCCCAATATGAGAGGTCCACCCAAGTCCTTGTCAATTCCCTGACAGCCCAACAACCTGCAATGGAGTGTTCACTGAGGATAGCTTGGGTTTTGGGAAAACACCAAAAAAACATTTTCAGACGCTGAGATGGTAAAACAATGCATGTGTGAAGTTGCTAACACCTTGCTTGAAGGTAAACAAAAAGATGAGCTCAGGGAAAAGATCAAACAGATCCCACTGTCAGATTCCACAGCCATGAGGAGAACTGAAATATTAGCCAAAGATTTAAATTCCCAACTTGATGAGGCCATTCAGAATGCACCATGCATTTCATTAGCTGTAGATGAATCAACAGATACCACTGATAATGCCCAGCTTCTGGTGTTTGTTTTATAACGAAACAAAGAAGGGATTCTGGGAGGAGTTGTTGAGCTTAACACATCTAGAAGCCCACGGGGAGAGGATATCCATGAGGCCATCAAAGGGATGCTGACAGAAAGGGGGATAGATCTGAAGTCAGTGGTCTCCATCACCACAGATGGAGCTCCGGCCGTGACAGGAAGAGGGAGGGGACTGGTTGAAACATCCTGACCTGACATCATATCACTGCATCATACATCAATCTGTCCTGTGTGCCAGTCTGCAAAAATAGTATTCCGAGGTCATGACAACGAAAGCAACATCATCCCTGCAACACCGCCTGCTACGAGGCATTCTGACTGAGGCCAATGCCAGCTATGATGACTTACTACAACAATGTCAGATGGCTCAGCAAAGGCAGGGTTTTGGAACGCTTTTGGACCATTCAGGAGGAAATCAAAGCTTTGTTATCAGGGCAAAAGAGTGACAAGGCAACTCAGTTTGAGTTTTTGGAAGATGAGGAGAAGATGGAAACTGTTGCATTTTTGACAAACATTCCATCACACCTTAATCAACTGAATGTTAAGCTGCAGGGACGGGACAACACAGTGTGAGATATGATAACGGCAGTCCGGGCTTTCCAGAAGACATTGGAGCTTTTCAAGAATGATCTCCAGGGAGAACTTGTCCCCAATCTTCTGGCCCAAACGCAGGGAGACAAAGATGTTCCCAACCAGGTTGATTTCATCCAGAAGCTGATGGAGAACTTCAAGGCTCGCTTTGATGACTTCACTGTTGGAGGAGAACTGCTGCTGCTCATCCAGAACCCCCTTCTTGGTCACAAATGTGACAAAGTTGTCAGAAGAAGCAAAACGGATCTTCAGATGGGTTGATGTTGCATCACTGCAAATGGAGTTGATTGAGCTGCAAGAAAATGTGTCTTTGAAGGAGCCGGCTGGTGATTGGCTCTGAAGGAGCAGGCTGGTGATTGGCTCTGAAGGAGCAGGCTGGTGATTGGCTCTGAAGGAGCCGGCTGGTGATTGGCTCTGAAGGAGCCGGCTGGTGATTGGCTCTGAAGGAGCCGGCTGGTGATTGGCTCTGAAGGAGCCGGCTGTTGATTGGCTCTGAAGGAGCCGGCTGTTGATTGGCTCTGAAGGAGCCGGCTGTTGATTGGCTCTGAAGGAGCCGGCTGTTGATTGGCTCTGAAGGAGCCGGCTGTTGATTGGCTCTGAAGGAGCCGGCTGGTGATTGGCTCTGAAGGAGCCGGCTGTTGATTGGCTCTGAAGGAGCCGGCTGGTGATTGGCTCTGAAGGAGCCGGCTGGTGATCGGCTCTGAAGGAGCCGGCTGGTGATTGGCTCTGAAGGAGCCGGCTGGTGATTGGCTCTGAAGGAGCCGGCTGGTGATCGTGACCCTGTCCCTTTCTGGGGAAAGATGGCGCCTGCAGCTGATGTCCCTGTTCAGGAAACTGGCGCTACACATCCAGACCATGTTTGGCTCCACAGACAGCTGGCGCTACACATCCAGACCATGTTTGGATCCACAGACAGCTGGCGCTACACATCCTGACCATGTTTGGATCCACAGACAGCTGGCGCTACACATCCTGACCATGTTTGGCTCCACAGACAGCTGGCGCTACACATCCTGACCATGTTTGGATCCACAGACAGCTGGCGCTACACATCCAGACCATGTTTGGCTCCACAGACAGCTGGCGCTATACATCCTGACCATGTTTGGATCCACAGACAGCTGGGAATCAGCCTTCTCCACAATGAACTTTATTCAAAACAAATACCGCACCAGGCTCACCAATGAACACCTGCACCAGTGTCTCCGAGTTGCTCTCACACCATTTGTGCCAAAGTTCAAAGCATTGGCAGGAGACAGAAAGTGTCATTTCTCTCATTAATGCAGGGAAAGGCCCAGAAGGACTTATACATGAGTATTGCATGGCTCACAGTGACGTTCTGAGCATTCAGATTATTATATTTGTTCAACTCTCCTTTGTTCTCCAGAAAACATGCACTTTATTTTATATATATATATTTTTATTCAAGGCCCATGTACAATGTTTCAGAGTGCACCTTTTTCATAGACAATTATGCAACCACTTTTGTTCTTCAGCAACGTTGATGCAATGTTGCACGTTTACATTCAAAAGTAATTATTTCAAGTTCTTAGTCTCATTTAATGTATTTAATGTACATTTTATATAAGTCGTAGACGACTATGTTTGTTACTACGTTGTACCACAGCGCCGATAAAGGACGATCTCCCTCCGGACCTTTGCCACCTAGGAAATTTGTGTCACTGGACCATCTCAAATAGTAGTTGAGTACCCCTGAGCTACACCTTTCTTCTTCCCGGCGAGTTCTTTATTCCTGTCTGCGCGATGTACTGAGAACCCAGCTGGCTGTATGGACAGGGACAGTATATCGGGAGAGAGACATGATTCCGTGAAACAGAGTATGTTACAGTCCCTGATGTCTCTTTGGAAGGAGATCCTCACTCACAAAGACAAGGGGAACACTTATACACAAGTGGAGTGATGAGAATGGGATCGGCAGTAGCTAGTACTCCGGTGTTGACGAACGCCGAAGCCTGCCCGAACCAGGAGGGGGGGCAGCCTCGGCGGAAGTCGTGACATCGGCATTTGATTGTGAGGTATCCTAGGTCGGGTGAACAAAAGGACTTGAGTTCCTGTACGTTATCACAGTCACACCATGAGTAGTTAATCATGAAACATACACCACCGCCTTTCTTCTTCCCGGAGAGTTCTTTATTGCGGTCTGCGCGATGTACTGAGAACCCAGCTGGCTGTATGGACGGGGACAGTGTATCCGGAGACTGCCATGATTCCGTGAAACAGATTATGTTACAGTCCCTGATGTCTCTCTGGAAGGAGATCCTCGCCCTGAGATCGCCTACTTTATTGTCCAGAGACTGAACATTAGCGAGTAATATAGTCGGAAGCGGTGGATGATGTGCCCGCCTCCCGAGTCGGACTAGAAGTCCACTCCGAATACCTTTTCTCCCCCGGCGGCGTCTTGGAGCAGCCTCTGGGATAAGTAGTGTCCAAAACGTCTTTCCAGCTGTCAGGCATTCCCTTGGCAGCAAGAGCCTCTCGGTGGATGCTGCAGTGTCCCCATTCCCTTGGCAGCAAGAGCCTCTCTGTGGATGCTGCAGTGTCCCCATTCCCTTGGCAGCAAGAGCCTCTCGGTGGAGTGCAGTGTCCCCATTCCCTTGGCAGCAAGAGCCTCTCGGTGGATGCTGCAGTGTCCCCATTCCTTTGGCAGCACCGTGGCTTGAGGAAAGGCACTACTCCCAATATAAAGTGAACCCCAAATCAATGTAGTTCTCATCATATTTGCGCCTCTTCGATGGTCCAACGTCCCCGTCTGTTGTTCGGTGCTTACCCGGGTAAGGGGGCAGTAGCTCTTTCGGCTGCGTCAGATTCACAACGGTCAGTGTCCGTGCTTGCTGGGATGTAGAATGACTGATGCTAGCGTTGGCTGTGTTGGTGGAAGCAGAACCACTTGTGTCGTCGACAGGTGCAGGTGCAGTACCGCTGGGAGTAGCAGTACCGCTGGGGGTAGCAGGACCGCTGGGGGTAGCAGTACCGCTGGTAGAGCTGGTATGTGTCTCTATGGACGAGGGCCGTACTTTATTTTTAAACATTTATCAATTTTCGAGCAAACGGAATAAGCAGCAGCTACAAATGGACCGTTAGTGGAATTCCCACGAGAGAGTGACGGTTAATGTGATTGGATGTTAATTATTTGACTAGGCTACCTGTATTTGACATTGTGTTTTTCATTTCGTTGAACACTAGATGGTTTAATTTTATTTTTTGGCAGTGAAACAAGGCTACTCAGGCGAGGAAAAAAACATCACCCAAATGTATAGCCCCGTTGGAAAATCTAAATGGACTGTTTGAAAATGTGAATCACATTTTGTATTTGGCGTACCACCGACAGCATTGCGCGTACCCCTGGGGGAACGTATTCCCCAGTTTGGGCAAAGCCGGTCTACCGTATCAAAAGCTTTGGCCAAGTCAATAAAAATAGCAGCACAACATTGCTTAGAATCAAGGGCAATGGTGACATCATTTAGGACCTTTAAGGTTGCAGTGACACATCCATAACCTGAGCGGAAACCAGATTCCATACCAGAGAGAATACTATAGACATCAAGAAAGCCAGTCAGTTGATTATTGACAGGTTTTTCCAACACCTTTTGATAAACAGGGCAAAATAGAAATTGGCCTATAACAGTTAGGATCAGCTTGACCTCCTCCTTTAAATAAAGGACGCACCGTGGCTGCCTTCCAAGCAATGGGAACCTCCCCAGAGAGGAGAGACAGGTTAAAGGTCAGAGACAGGCTTGGCGATGATAGGGGCTGCAACCTTAAAGAAGACAGGGTCTAGACCATCTGACCCAGAGGTTTTTTTTGGGTCAAGTTTAAGGAGCACATTTCTAGATATCATCAGCAGTAATATAATCAGGGCACGGCCCGAGGACAGGGAGGAGCTCTGCAGTGTTGATTTATTATGACATTTGAATGTGCATCAGATGGCAACAAGATCATTTTGTACAGCAATACCTACCTTCTCAGACATCTTCTGGCTGACACTGAGTAGCATCAGCATGTTGTCACACTCTGTGATGCCCATAGCATAGAGATCACTGAGGACATTAGCGCACGCTATCCTTCCCTGGAGAGAGAGACGGGGAGAAATGTGGGGAAGGAGAGAGAGAAGGGAGATGGAGAGAGAGACATATAATCTCGTAAGGGATGGGTCACCAACTGGCGATTTGACAAGAACATTTATTGTAATTCATTCATTGATAGAGATATAAAAATGTAATTCACTCATACAGATATAAGTTGGGGCATGCCCTAAGAAAGGTTAGGAGATCAGAGGTTACGGTGGAGGTCAGGGGTTAAAGGTCAGGTGTCAGAACTCACCATCATGTAGGGGTCCTCCACCAGAGGGTAGAAGAAGTCTGTAGTTTGGACCAATGAGAGGCCTCCGTGTCTCAGAGGGATCACACAGGAGTCCATGCCTATACCTGCACACACACACACACAGAGACACACACACACACAGAGACACACACACACACACACAGAGACACACACACACACACAGAGACACACACACACACACACACAGGAGACACACACACACACAGAGACACACACACACACACACACACAGAGACACACACACAGAGACACACACAGAGACACACACAGAGACACACACAGAGACACACACACACACACACACACACACACACACAGAGACACACACACACAGAGACACACACAGAGACACACACACACACACACAGAGACACACACACACACACACAGAGACACACACAGAGACACACACACACACACACAGGAGACACACACACAGAGACACACACACACACACAGAGACACACACAGAGACACACACACACAGAGACACACACACACACAGAGACACACACACACACACACAAAGACACAGAGACACACAGAGACACACACACACACAGAGACACACACACAGACACACACACAGAGACACACACACAGAGACACACACACAGAGAGACACACACAGAGAGACACACACAGAGAGACACACACAGAGAGACACACACACACACACACAAAAACACACACAGAGACACACACACACGGAGACACACACACACACGGAGACACACACACACGGAGACACACACGGAGACACACACACACACACACAGAGACACACACACACGGAGACACACACACACGGAGACACACACACACACGGAGACACACACACACAGTTCAACAATATTCATGCTACCCTGGCTGCATTCCTATCCAATCGATGATAGACTTTTCTATGGTGCCACGGCATAGCTTTGCTTTAGCTAATGGATAAAGGTTTATTGCCTATTTGGTCTTCATTTTCTCATGTTAAGCCTAACATTTCACAAAGCTATACACGGTGTCGCAATGCTGCCATTTTTAGACTGCTGGCAATAATTGAATGACTTGTTCAGTAGTGGTGACCAGGTCAGCTGTTCATTCACCCGCCTGCAGTTGCTACTAACCCATCCTCAACCGCCCGAATATATGTGATAAAGTGAAAATCTGAGGCCCGCACCCAACCCTAACCCGCTAATATAGAACATCCGCTGTCAAAGACTGCAGAACAACTGTCTGACAGGGGATCAGGGGGTGCAGGACTTCCTTTTGCCTGATTGAGACTGTTTCTGCTTATAATTTCCGACATGTTAGTAGGCTATTTGTTAGTCAACTTGTCCATAATTAGATACATGTAACTTCTCTTCTGTCATTATGTTGCCCCAGAAGACTAAATGACCCCTTTCTCAACGGAATGATGTCAATCTAGTTGACATCGGTAAAGCTCTCTGTCATCTTTCGCGGAGCAAAGAAGTTTAAGGACTGGGGAGAAAATACAATAACGAGAACTAGCTGGGGTGGTAGGTAGCCTGGTTAGAAAGGTTTAGGCACTGCATCGCAGTGCTTGAGGCGTCACTACAGACCCAGGTTCAATCCCAGGCTGTGTCACAACCGGCCGTGACCGGGAGTCCCATAGGACAGCGCACAATTGGCCCAGCGTCGTCCGGATTAGGGGAGGGTTTGGCCCAGTGTCGTCTGGGTTAGGGGAGGGTTTGGCCCAGCGTCGTCCGGGTTAGGGGAGGGTTTGGCCGGGGGGGGGGGGGGCTTAACTTGGCTCATCGCGCTCTAGCGACTCCTTGTGGCGGGCCGGGCGCCTGCAGGCTGACTCTGGTTGTCAGTTGAACAGCGTTTCGTCCGACACATTGGTGCAGCCGGGTTAAGAGGGCAGGTGTTAAGAAGCTCAGTATGAAAAATGTATGCACTCACACAGAGCTAAACTGTAAATGCCCCCAGCCTTCAGATGTGAGCTAAACAGCTAACTTGCACTTGATATAGTTTTTAGGCTATGTATGAGAAAGTTAACTTGTTCCTAATGTTTAGCTCTGTGTGCTGCTTTGCCATCTATTAACAGCAGGGTTGCATTATATACAAAACGTAGAAACAAAAGCCTTCACTGAAAGTTGATACATGTAGGCCCTTCATATAGGCCTATAGGCTATCGGTAGGCCCTTCATATAGGCCTATAGGCTATCCGTAGCCCTTCATATAGGCCTATAGGCTATCCGTAGGCCCTTCATATAGGCCTATAGGCTATCCGTAGGCCCTTCATATAGGCCTATAGGCTATCCATAGGCCCTTCATATAGGCCTATAGGCTATCCATAGGCCCTTCATATAGGCCTATAGGCTATCCATAGGCCCTTCATATAGGCCTATAGGCTATCCATAGGCCCTTCATATAGGCCTATAGGCTATCCGTAGGCCCTTCATATAGGCCTATAGGCTATCCGTAGCACTTCATATAGGCCTATAGGCTATCCGTAGGCCCTTCATATAGGCCTATAGGCTATCCGTAGCACTTCCTTCAATTTATCTAATCAGTTAATAGTTCTTGCTCAAACCGCGAGCAACTCCTGTAAAACTCAGACGTTTCTCTCAAAACACAGGGATGTCGACTCGCATTATCAGAGGACTTTGGAGTTTGACCAACCAGAATAACTGTTTTTTGGCAATGTCCAGATTTCAGTTTCCATTTAACCCATCTGAACAGTAGGCTACAGTTTCCACAGGCCTATTTGAAGTCCCGTCTTGTGACTTTGGAATTTGAGCTTCACAATCATCATCATAACATTCACTCTGGATAAGAGCGTCTGCTAAATGGCATATTATATTATTATTACATTCACTCTGGATAAGAGCGTCTGCTAAATGGTATATTATATTATTATTACATTCACTCTGGATAAGAGCGTCTGCTAAATGGCATATTATATTATTATTACATTCGCTCTGGATAAGAGCGTCTGCTAAATGGTATATTATATTATTATTACATTCACTCTGGATAAGAGCGTCTGCTAAATGGTATATTATATTATTATTACATTCACTCTGGATAAGAGCGTCTGCTAAATGGTATATTATATTATTATTACATTCACTCTGGATAAGAGCGTCTGCTAAATGGTATATTATATTATTATTACATTCACTCTGGATAAGAGCGTCTGCTAAATGGTATATTATATTATTATTACATTCACTCTGGATAAGAGCGTCTGCTAAATGGTATATTATATTATTATTACATTCACTCTGGATAAGAGCGTCTGCTAAATGGTATATTATATTATTATTACATTCACTCTGGATAAGAGCGTCTGCTAAATGGTATATTATATTATTATTACATTCACTCTGGATAAGAGCGTCTGCTAAATGGCATATTATATTATTATTACATTCACTCTGGATAAGAGCGTCTGCTAAATGGCATATTATATTATTATTACATTCGCTCTGGATAAGAGCGTCTGCTAAATGGCATATTATATTATTATTACATTCGCTCTGGATAAGAGCGTCTGCTAAATGGTATATTATATTATTATTACATTCACTCTGGATAAGAGCGTCTGCTAAATGGTATATTATATTATTATTACATTCACTCTGGATAAGAGCGTCTGCTAAATGGTATATTATATTATTATTACATTCACTCTGGATAAGAGCGTCTGCTAAATGGTATATTATATTATTATTACATTCACTCTGGATAAGAGCGTCTGCTAAATGGTATATTATATTATTATTACATTCACTCTGGATAAGAGCGTCTGCTAAATGGTATATTATATTATTATTACATTCACTCTGGATAAGAGCGTCTGCTAAATGGTATATTATATTATTATTACATTCACTCTGGATAAGAGCGTCTGCTAAATGGTATATTATATTATTATTACATTCACTCTGGATAAGAGCGTCTGCTAAATGGTATATTATATTATTATTACATTCACTCTGGATAAGAGCGTCTGCTAAATGGTATATTATATTATTATTACATTCACTTCTATCATCCTCTTTTACCACTTCACCAAATCTTTCCCAACATGACTTTTCTGGCCCTCCCTTCTCTTTATGTTAAACTCTCCTTTTGTAGCTTCTCTCTTATTGAATTAAACTCCAACAATGTCCTTTTTGCCTCCGTAGATGGATTTTTTCTGCCTGTTCCCAAAAGCATTATTTTGTGATTGTCTGTGTAGAATGTGTCGTGCTTAAAGTTCAGGCCTAAAGGTTAGGCCTATGCACTAACACCAGAGAGGGTTTTCTTTCATTATTATAGGATAAATCTAGACTATATAAATTGCACAATAATTATACATTTATGGATTTTAAGGTATTGTTTCTCTTTATTCAACCTGCCAGCCACCCACCCGCCCTTCGGCCACACAATATTTAATGATCCTTAACCCGTCAGCCCCGCGGATATAACCGCAGGGACTGCAGGTTATGAGTCAACCTGCACATAACTATTGTTAAGTAATTAAAAGTTGGAAATTCTAACATTGCAGATTGTACCTGAACCTGCATGACACGAGCCGTCCTCGCGCTCTCTCCTAGCGTTGATAAAAAGGTTGTGCATGAAACCAGTCTATTAATGCCAAATAATACAGTCAGTAAAAAACCCTCAAAACAATTGAATAATGGCGCCGGAGGGGATGGCTGCCGTTTTACGGGCTCCTAACCAACTGTGCTATTTTGTGTGTTTTTTCGCATTGTTTGTAAC